GTCACTGTATCCTCTTCCTTCAGCTTGCTTTTATGTTTGTTGCCTGTGCCTTCACTTCGGCACAGGCTGCGACCAGAACTACGCAACATTTACAAAACGAACGCTGAAGAAAGTGGAAGTGAATCTCCAGAGAGGCGGTAGGCAGCAGATCGAAGTGTTCCGATCCGCTCTGATCCGTTCCGTTCCGTTCCGTATCGAACCGCAAAGTAAATGCGCCTATATTACAATTGTTGATCATGTCGTGTTATTGTTGTTTATGTTAAAGTTTTTACATCACTCTATTATATGGCGCAACATTTTATTATTGTTGCAATAAAAATTGTTAAAACCAAAAACTTAAATTTCGCTTAAAAAGTGCAGAAAATTATTGTTAAAAATAAAATGAAAAAAAAAACCAAACCCAACAAAACCATCATGGCTTAAAATATACTAACACAGTCTGAACACACAAAAGGAATACAATTCGGGGAAAGAAAACAACTTCAAAAAACTGATAAGAATATTATGAAGAGAAAATATGTCAAATGAGTCTGAAAAAGTTATGCAATTTCTTTTATTTAACGGATCGACATTGAAACAAATGCAATACCTTGATTAAAATGCTTTTTTAATTATTTGTTACTCTCTTGAATTGTTATTTCGTCTTTTTAAACTGTTGAAAAACTCGCATTTACGTTTATTTTAAAGTTTAACTTATTTAAATATTTGTATGAATTAAAATCTCTATCATTGTTGGGAGCCTGAAATAGTATAATTAACATTAATAAACAACTAACTTAACATAAATCAATTGCAAACCCATTGCCAAAAAGCCAACTCTACTCAACGAAAAGTCACTTTGGGATTACTAAACTACATTTTAAATTCAATGCCAACGAAACGTAAGTAAAATCAACTATTAACAAACACTGCAGAAACATCAAACGCAACAGATACAGCAAAAAATACAAATTTATTTAGTCCGATTTACTGCTTATGCCTGGAACCAACTCTAACTTATATTTTCCAGTTTCAATACGTTAAAAACAACTATTTTTAAATGGAACCAATGCTAAGATTTGAACAATATATATATGCTAAAGAGCCAAAGTGTTGGAGCTCGGTTAAATCAATACTATATGTTGATATGATATGATATGTGGCCTAAACAGATTTTGTAATGTTTGAGGCATTTGAGATAAAGTATATATATTCTTGATCCAGATGGCAAGTCGAGTCGATTGAGTCCTCCTGCCCGTCTGTCTGTATGTGTGAACGCGTCGATCTCAGCATCTATAAGAGCTAGAGAAATTTTACTTGTAGTCCCGTGTATAGCCCGCGCATATCAAGTTGTTTCAACTTATCGATAACTATTATCAATTAAAAAGATAATCAAAATGCAAAATATTAAATTATATCTCGTACAGCGTAAGAGCTAAAGCCTCCATATTTTTTTTTTAGTTTTATGTATATTTTAAACAATTTAATTTTTTTTTATATTTCGGATAGCGGCTATATATTTATATTCAGTTGAAAATAGGGCTAATATGTGAAGGAGTTTGCATTTTTACTAAGCTGACAATTACTCCAATAGAATATGTAGATCAATGCTGAACATTTTTTATTTGTTTTTTAATGCTCGATACAAACTACTGAAATTATAAAAAATCGCATATAGGATCAGGATATTTCCTAGTTGGGCAAACCAGACTAGAACTTTCTTACTGTTTGTGTTTGCTGTGGGTAGAAGATCGCTCGCGATCTACGGCTTTTAGAGAGGTTGCTTGAGCGTGAACTGAAAACTAGACTTGAGCAAGTGTCAGAGTCCAACTCTAACGGCCGCTTGTATAGCCACATAGAGCGTGTGCTCTATAGAGACTTTAGTGTACAGAAGAAGCAGCCCTACGTCGTTTACTAAAAATATTTGATATTTGACTTTGAATTTGGAATCGCAATTAATTGTAGTTATAACTTTTCCCATTTTCAATTACATTTAATTATTTTTACTTTATTTTGAATGAATATGCAATCTGGACAGTGACCGCCTCTATGTAGTTGTACTTTACTCTCTCAATAGTGAGAGGGCATGCAGCGCGCTTTAAGGTCGGTTTAGGTAAGGCTTGCCTCGGCCTTTGCTTATTATTAGGCACTCAATACTAGGCCAGTTCCAGTGAGAGCTCTCTATTCGCACAACTTTGATGCTCAGTTGTTTTTAACATTTGCTAAGCAAATGTTTGCTTAACTCTATGATAACTTGACTACAATTTAATTTGAATATAGTAGCTTAGATGCAGGTACGGCCAACTGTAACACAGGCCACAAAACACATGTAGCTCAACTATAATCAATTGATTTTTTTAAGAAAAATTTTGCAAATTCTTACAAATGCACTAATGTCTAAGAGTACACTCAATTAAGGCATTTTATATATCCAATATTATTACTATTATTATTTTTATTTAATTCACAATGTTTCATTTGCTAACTTTTAATACTCCACTAGTTTCACTTAGTCAATAAGTGCTGTACATAACCACATGAATTCAAGATGTAAAATTGAAGTTGGGACAAAGAAAAGGAAGAAGGCAAACTTCCATAATATTCACTTATTCGTCTGCCTAGGGAAGCGACTCGGCAAATAAGAAAATTTCGCTGCGACAAGTGCAATAAATATTGCTTTGGTCGTGACTTTGCTCGGAAATAGGCGGACATAGCACACAGAACCATACATACTCTCATACAATTACAGTGGCGTCTTTAAAGCAACCCGCCCTTAAGACAACACACACACACTCAGAGATAAAGTAACAACGACTAGCAATAATTTAAAAAACAATAATAAAACAACTAAACAATATTGATTGTGAGTGATGGTCTGTCAAAAATGCCTGCATTTCAACGTCAACGTTAATGCTGACTGCACCAGCAACGGTCGCTCTAACTGTAGTTTCCCTTCTTTTGTTTTTGGTTTTACTTCTTTTTTTTGCATTCTATTTTATTTTTTATTTTTTTTTTAATTTTGAATATCGTTGCCACTATGATTCTTAAGTTGTTCTCAAGTTCATTGCATTCTGCGGCATGGCTGTCTGTGCCGGGAACGTCGACTACGCTGCTGCCGTCGTTGTCATCGTCGTCGTCATCGTCATCATCGTCGTCTCTCCAATAGCTCTCATTCATTTCCCATGTCCTCTGTCTATGGCCCTTCCAAAAGCAAAGCAAAGACAGAGCCAGAGACGGAGGCAGAGGCAGAGGCAGAGTCTGTAAAAATTATTTTGCGCCCCACTGAAAAAGGGGTTGCTGCAATCGACGTTGACGACGCCGACGACTACGTGAATAGCGACTATGCGGCTGTTCCTTCAGCTTTAGTTATTGCTGTGCGGATTTAGGAATACTTATTTTGGAACCCTTATACTGATCTGTCAGGCCATTTTAATGGATATGTTAATATTGCATAAGTTTTAAAATAGGCTCAAATAAAGTTGATATTCAATAAAATTTTTAATGTCTGATTTATCTACTTATATTTATATCTCTATTCAGACCCTAAAATAATTTACTTTACAGTTTCCAATCTTTTTTTGTATAATCTTTTTTTATTTTTTGTGACCCCACAGCCAAGAAGAAGCTTCAGATATTGTTATCCTTTATTTATTTATTTTTTTTTTTTGTTTAACGAATTTGTGTCTTAGGCCCTCAATTTCTGGTTGAGAAAACAGTGTGTGCTTTACACAGTGTGCGTGTGTTTTTTTTTTTTGGCATCTTTTTAGACATCGTTACCCTTAGGGCTGACGTGTTACCCACCCCACGCTCTGCTTTTTTTTCCTTGCAGACTGCTCTTGCCTGCATGTTAGGTTTTTTCTCTTTGCGTGATTCTTTTTTTGTTGCTCATAGATAGCGTATACAATATTTTGCGATCGTCTGGGCTTGGAACTTCCCACGATCCTTGTGGACTTTTGTACTTAAGCGTGTGTAAGTGTGTGTGCGTATGTGCGCGCGCATATTTGTGTTTGTATGGGTGTGTGTTGGTCGCCTATATCTGTCTCTGATCATCTATTATGCTATCTCGCTTTTACTGCTTTGCAAGAAATGGAAAGTAAAGTTTGCCGTACGTTTCTTATTTTGCGTCTTTTTTAACATAATTCGGTTAATTTCTTATGAGCACTGCGGGAATAGATACATATGAATACCCCAGTAACGTTTACCGATCAGTGTACGCAAACACACAAGCGTAACGTATTTGAGCAGATGTGTTTGTCTAGTTCAATGAACTTTACTTAAAAGCCAACACCAGTCCAAAGTTTTATTCATATAAAAACTACATAATAATAAGTATTAATGCCGTTTGTATAATTAAGTGTAGATGTAATGCTAACTTAATTTATTCTAAATACTATTAAAGGGGCTTAATAGAAACAAGGCGGTTTGCGTACTTTTATGAACATATGTATTAATATTTAGAGTTGGCAACATTGTTGACAGCAATTGTAACACGCAACATGCGTACAAACAGAGACACACAGATAATAAGACGGTGAAAACGAAGACAACTACGTGATATGTACATAAATACATAGGTATATACATTTGCAGCTGGTGTGTGAGTGCGATATCAGTGACGTTGGAGGCGGCATGTCACTTCCGTCTCACAGTTGTAGCCGGCATTTGAGCGACAAAGAGCGCGACTCAAATGCGCGCAACACACACACATTTTTGTACGTACACACCTACCTACTGCGAGTCTGGCATCCACATACCACAAGGCGTATGCCTACGTTCCACTTACTCATACACACAAATAACATGTTCGCCGAGTCAGCTGTTGGTAAAGTTACGCCACGTTGTTCTCTTAGCTTTGTACGCGGTGAGAGAGTGTGAACGCAAAAAGAGCGCAGTTGTGTTCGCTCAGAGTACTCAGATGCTGCTTTGAATTCGCCGGACGAGAATACTTAACAGAGCTCAAAAAGTGGCACAATAACAGTTCAAATTAGCGGCAGTAAATTCGCCGTTTTTAGTTTTTCGTTCACGCTCCGCACTGTTGGTCGTGTCGGGTTGTTGTTGCTGTTGTCGTCGCCGTCATCACGTCGTGTCGCTGCTGTTGCTGTTGCCAGTGAGAAAACGAAAAGCTACATAAAAGTAAGCGACAACGCGAACCGTATCACGTAAAGCGCCCTCGTGGAGAATTACATTGAGAAATGTCAATGAATATGTGTTTGAATGCAAAATTATCAGGCATACATCGAAAACTCTAAAAGTGACGTCATAAGCTGATATATGGACAACTAAAACAACTACAACAATAATAATAATAACAGTAAGCAGCATAAGCAACACGCCTCACGTTGTTTCGTGGCTTACGTTTTCTCTGTGAATGCGCTGCCGCTCTCTCTCTCTCTCTCTCTTTCACACTCTCCCGGCGAGATACTCTCTTTCGCTGTAGGTTTACCGGCGACTCCATTTACTACTACGACGAAAAGACACTCAGACCAGGCAGCACTCATTTTGCGTTTACGTCGTGGCTCATGAAGTTCGTTTAGTTCGGCGCAACAAAATGTAAAAACACATGAAAAGAAAGAAAAAAACTGCAAGCATTCGAGACATATTTAGCTAACTAAACAAAAACAACAATTTAGGACAGACAATGCAACAAAAACAATTATGTGATATCTACAACAAATATATATTGTTTCCTAACTGCTGACGTCACGCGTCACGTAAAGGAGAAGAAATAGACTTTTTGTGAAAAAGAAACAAAAAACGTGAAAAATATACATAAAAACGCAAAAATATGAAACGTGTGTGATATTAAATGAGCGCGACGGCGGCAGCAACAATAACAACTACAAACAAGCAGCAGCAGCGACGACGTTGGCAGCAGCAGCAGCAGCGGCGACGACGACGTAGGCGACGGCAACAGTGGCAGCGTTTGCGGGCATTTGCTTTGTTGGGATCTGCGTCGTGATATAAAACGAAGAAATTCCAATTTAGGTGCGTGCAACTCACATATTTTCTCTTCTTTTCGAACAAAAACTGTGATACGATTTACCCAGCCATGTTTTTGATCTGTATATATACATATATATATATATATATATATATATATATATATATATATATATATGAGTGTGTGTGCTTTCGATCGACAATTAATCATTATTTTCAGTTTGCTTTGTGCTGCCTTTCCGTTGCTCTAATCCCGGTAATAACCTTTAAATGCCTTTTTGTTTGTGTCAAAGTTTTACGGAGAGCTACATTTAATAAATTTTTAAATAGTCAACTTCCAAAGCACTCTTCTAGACATTTGTATTTGTAGGATGTACCTGAATAATTGACTATGTATCCACGAATTAACAATGCGCAGAAAGTAAGTTCTGTAAAAGTTTCTGATAACGGCACATGCGGATTATTTCATTGCAACCCATGACTCGAAATGCGTCATACATGTAGGTAATAACTACATTTGCATAACAGCAAATATATCGATGTATGTATGTATTGTGCATTTGCTTACATTATGCGAGTTTTCTGACATTAGAACTTCGGGACTTCCCTAAAATCAAGAAATATTTTTTTTCATTGAGAGGACCTTACCAACATGTACATGTACACATATGTCTTTTACTGATAATTTTGATTTTTATATTTGCATTTGGCTGGCGAATTATTTTACGACGCAGTTTATAAGCCTGCCCCCAAAGAATGTTATTTCTGTTATATTGTGCACCTCTTCTATCCATCAACTGGATATTATTTTAGGCTTTTGCACCCACCAAATATATGCATAACAGAAAACCAACAAATTTAACAGCGTCTGTTGAGTCTCACAGAGCTCTGTTGTTGACTATATGTAGCTTCCATTTCCCTTTGCCATCCATCTCACTACCTTTTACGTTTGTTTTTGCTATTTACACTTGTATTTTTATTTAATTCCATATCACAGTGTGAATTTAGCAAGTACAAAATAATAATACAATATTGGTGTTGCTTTGTTTACGTGAGGGCCGGTGAATTAGCATTTTTGGCTTAAGATTGGGATGTTTTGAGCAGGCAACAGTAGTAGTGCCCTCTAACTGACTAAATCCAATTCGCTTGAGTTATCTATAAATATAACTATATATATTTACGTAGCATAAATACACCTGTATATATTTTATAACTGTATGCAGTCTGGTTGACCATCAATAGCGCATAATAAGTGTGGATCCCAAGTCAGAAAACCGGCTGCATCGCAATAAACATGCAATCCACATTAGGCCGCAACAACAAAATAACAGCAACGGTATCAACAACAATATCTCTGTCACGGCATGATCTAACAGCTGTTATAAAAACAGAACCAGAGTGAGCGGCCGGCATCTCTCGATTCAACGTCGTGAAAGCAAACAACCCAAGTATTCCCACACACGCTAAACCCCTCTTCTACACAAGCACAGTCGCGTACATACACACACATACGCAAATATATAAAGGCGTGTATACGCGTACACATATACAAGAATAAGCACGTTAACTGAGCATTGGTGACTGTGAGCAGCTATACACATATATAAAAAATTCATTTTTCTGGCGCTTACAGAATGCTGAATGGTTTTATGGCAAAATGTTGTACGATATGTTAAATAGTTGTGTATGTATGTATGTATAGACTTAAGTGCTTATGTATGTTTTCCTAGTCTGTATTTTGTTTTACTTTTATTATCTGCTTTTTTACTGCGCATGCAAAATGCTGTGCAAAAGGAAAGCGAAACTTTTACGTGTGCGCTGCAGTCGGCAGCGACGCTACTACTCTGCTTAGCTTTACAGATGGTATGAGTGTATGTACATATAGAAGAGAGCGCACTGTTAATAATACAGTAAACACAAGAGTATACAGTGCTCTTATTTATCTACATATGTGTGCTTATTAATGTATTTATATACATTAATAAAAGCATAATAAACATAAATTGCGATATGAATAATTAATAGCTCAGGTTAGAATTTATTCATCAATACCGTTGGATTACATTTACAAGCGTCCAATTAGCAGCTGCTGACCATTTTGCATGGGCGGAGTTCTAAGACAGTGGTATCATGGTGTGCCGTATGCTATCAATTAATTTTCCTTTTAATGTAATTATCTCGTGTTTTACTTAAATTTCATTTACATTGAGCAGCGCCTTCATCAATGTTGAATCGTTCCAAAAATAATCTTTTTGCGTGCTTGAACACATCTCTTACTATCTGTCGGTCTCCTTATCCTTTGCTGTTATTTACTCTACATTCACATTAAATGCATATACACATATATAAATATATTATATATAGATTAGTATTTGTAGCTTTTTCTTCTTTATCAGTCACTGCTGTGTCTATGTCGCCGCAGCGTAGGTTTGAATGAAAAACTTGAGCTTGTTGCTGTGGCAGTTATTACTTGGCTTATTTATTTTCTCTAGGCCATTTTGTCCACGATTTTCCGTCATTTTCATGTTCACGTACTCTTCCCTGTTTGTATAATGTTCTGTTTTTCTTTTTCTCCAAGTCACAGTTGCTTTTTGTGTTTACCTTTTGGCTTGTTGGCTTGTTGTTATTAGATAAACACATACAACAAGATGCCAGACAAGTGCACTTGATACACACACATGTACAAATAAATTGATACTATTAATACCACACATATACACAATGTGAAATATACTAGGTTTTGGAAATGTTAAGAGCTGGCCTGACATATACTAAATAACTGTTTTCTGCTATAACCAGTCCATAGATTAAATTAGCATAACCTCTCTTTTCGACTCTACTGTACATATGTAATCTTATATGTTCTTTGAAATTCTATATGCGAAACTACTTGCATGCCAATCAAACTAAAAAAATATTTCGTGTGCGTTAAATTCAAAAATTCAAAGGACCTACCTGGTGGAAGCCGTGCTACCCTTCTTATGCAGAATGTTGTTGATTTTTCTTAATTCCTTTCGCTGTCACCCACATAATTCGTGTGTATAAAATTTCCATGTCTTCGATTTAAATTACCTACCTACAAAAAAACTGCAGAATTCGCCTGTAAACAGATACCGTTTTTTTCACAAAGTAGAAAGCAAGAACAAAATCTCAGCAGCTTGCAAGTAGAAGATATCGCAAGTGAAGGAGGATGAGAGCGAGAGAACGCAAATGAAACTCTGGCTATTGTTACCTACCTGCGCTGCCTTGCCTCTGCTGTTGACTGAATATTTATTTCTTGCCAATTTCAGCGAATTCCATGCGATGTTCCATTTATTTCGCTCGTTTTGCATTTCATTTTGAACACATGCACACAGAGTGTGTATTGTGCTCTTACAAATTGTGTGCGTGTGAGCGCGTATGTATGTGTGTATTTGTGTGTGTGCGAACGTTTTTAATTTAATCGTGTTTGTGCGCGCTCTATTCCATGGCGCATTTAACAGTCTGTAAATTTGTAAGCTGCAGCGTTTGTCAAATGCAAACATGTAGATCTTAACAGAACTATAAATTAAATTTGCGAAGTACAAGCAAGTGTTAATTGCTGTGGCTATAACATTTGTCCCTGTTTTTTTTTATTGCTTTTTTACGCTTATTTAAGCTCTCAAGTGTGCTAGCACCGTAAGGTATTAGAAGCAAACAAGAAGAAGAACACAACAGCTAATGTTGCTTTCTTGATAGCCAACAGAAACCCCTGTTGCTGATGGAAAGCGGTTAATACAGAATTAGCTATATAACGTTACTCGTTTTACCTGTTGTTCGTTTCGTTCTGGTTTGTTGTTCTTGTTGCTGCTGCTGTTTTCGTGCTTATTTTCTTCGCACGCTACGATGCGTTTAGTTTTGGCGTATTGATTGTTTCAATACTTTTTTACTGAGTTTATTGACACTTGCGCTTGCGCGACGATAGCAGCAAGAACAACAAATTATATTTGTTAGATTTATTTGCCGAGCGTACATAATTGAGTTTCTACTCTCTCTCTCTCTCGCCATATTTTTACCTTTATCATTTTACGGCTCCATGTTAATGTCATGTAAACGTGGGCATATTAGCATAAAGTGTTATGAAAGCAAAAAAGCGAAAATGGCGCAAAAGTTGAATGTGCCAGTTGCATAAATATAAAGTCACATAAGACTTAACTAATTATTGCCTTCTTTATTTTACTATTTCTATTACAGATGTGAAGAATCCCTAGGTGCTAATTTAGTTGATAAGCGCAAACAAGAAGTACAATAAACAAACAAAAAACCACATTACGCCAACTTTTTAACCGGGTGGCAACGTTTTAGGCAACATTATCCGCGTTTAAAAGTATGCTACAGCTAAAAACGAACGGATGCCGTGCTGCCAGGCCAACTACGTAGCAGGAAAGAAAGAAAATAAATAAAAGACAAGACGAGAGTGTCACGAGGAAGAGCGGCAGAGAGCGTGAGCAGAAACTATTTTTAGATAAACTGCAGTCAGAGAGCAGAGAGAGAGAGAGAGAGAGAGAAGGGGAGAGATAAAGAGCACGCGACTGCGAAATGTCGAATTTCATGATAACCACCGCCGCGCCCAAAAGCCACAACAACAACAACGCCAACACCAGTACACAGCGTCAACAGCAACTTTATGGAGCGGGTGGCACTCAAGTGGTGCGGAAGCTCAGCTACGAGCTGCTGGGCAACACCAACAACAACAATATTGTAATCAAAAACGAAAATCTGTTGAATATCCGGAACGACAGTAGCAACGGTGTCGGCGTTGCTGCCCACCTGCGGGATCACGTATATATAAGTCTGAATAAAGCTGGCGGCACAACAACTCAAGCAACCGTTATAGCAGAAGCAACAAACACACATCAACATCAACAGCAGCAGCGAAATGGCGGAGCTGCTGGCAAAACGAACGATATCACACAATATTACAAGGTAATTAAATTTTATTTGTTATACTGTATCGAGAGCGTACTGACTATGCGCATATATCTAATTCGCCGTAATTACTCTTCCTTCTGCTATAGGTCAAACGCCGACCGAACACAACCACCCACGAGATCCACCCGAAAAAGCAAGCCAAGCAAAGCGCACAGCACCAAACAGTCACCTACACCAATAAGCAGCAGCAGCTGCGCTACTATCAGCAGCAGCAGCAATACGAAGTCGACCACGACGAAGAAGACGATGTAGAATCGAGCAAATCGGCTGGCAACGGTACTTCACATTCTCATACACAGTTCGCGCGCACACTGTCGCAACAGCAGACGACGCCACAGCAACAAACAGCGCTCGTAACATCGTCCTCGATTTCAAATGGCGGCGGCAGTAGCAGCGGAGGCGGTGATCGCAATCGGGCGGACACCTCGCTGGGTATATTGACCAAAAAATTTGTGGATTTGCTGCAAGAGTCGCCAGACGGTGTGGTCGATCTGAACGATGCCTCCACCCGGCTGTCAGTGCAGAAGCGTCGCATCTACGACATAACGAATGTCCTCGAGGGCATTGGCATCTTGGAAAAGAAGTCCAAGAACAATATCCAGTGGCGCGGAGGTCAATCACTGGTTAGCAGTGAACGTTCTCGCCACATCGAGGCTGAGAGTGAGCGGCTGGAACAACGGGAGAATGAGCTCAACACGCTCATCGATCAGATGCGTGGCGAATTGGCGGAAATCTCGCAAGAGGTTGAGAATATTGGCGGCATGGCCTACGTAACGCAAAGCGATCTGCTCAACGTGGATCTCTTCAAAGATCAAATTGTGATTGTAATCAAGGCGCCGCCCGAAGCCAAACTTGTAGTAAGTCCTAATTGCCGAAACTATAATTAAGTACATAGCACATAGCACATAGCTCGTTCAGCAAATTGGTATGAGTATAACAATACGAGAAACATCAATTACGAAGCTGCAAATCCTTGAGATCCGTTAGCTGTTAGCATGAACTGAATTCCGAATTGGAATGTAGAAATCGGCAGGGAGTCTTAGGAACACATTTCATTGGTAAACTTTACACCACTGACCACTGACCACTGACCACTGAATCCGAATCTTCAACTCTAATACTGCTTTAAAATAGACTGTTAACTGTATTAGCAATTAAATCTGTTCAATATTGAGAGAAATTTCTATCTAGCTGATTCGCTTGTTTCGTCGATTTTCGGGCGACGACGTCAGACAATTGTGCTTCTTCTTTGCGTCTGCATGCCATTATAGATGGCGGCCTATTTTTAGACGTGCCTCAGACAGCGACAAGCGACACACTGCAAAATTGAACCAAATATACTTTACGCCTTCTGCTCCGGCTTCTGCTCATCCTCAGCTTCTAGATCCCCAGATGAATCTCCCAATAGCTACTGCCTGCACATGTGCTTTCCTTTTTATATAAAAAGAGAGCAAACATTTTCCATACATATGTCACTAACAAGAATCCCAACTAGCTTTCCAATGGGATTGCGCATAGTCTTCTCTATTCGCCCTCCTCTTCTTGCTATCTTTTAGCCACACACTATTTATAAATAATTCGCTTAATGTTTCCGCTCGCCTTGAACTGTTTAATGAACTCGCGCGTAACGCACGCACGCACTCACGCACGAGCTAAGAAATCTGATGGGAAATCTTAAGGCTTTTTCAATGTACTGATATTCTATCGCCTATATGCGGGGTGCCGAGAGATGAGATTCAACTTTAGCAATCTGTGAACATTTGAGCGTTTGAACTAAATAAAAATAAATAATTCCTTTTCTCTATTACAATATTCATACCCTTTTGTTAAGACTTCTACTGCTGTGGTACAATTACTGTAATTTAAATGTTTATTTGCCTTCTCGACAACAGCTGCCCAATACGAAGTTGCCGCGAGAGATTTACGTCAAGGCGGAGAATAGCGGGGAAATAAACGTGTTTCTTTGTCTCGATAATTCTCCGGAAAACTCGCCAGTCACAGGTGGCAGCAGCTATGCAGGTGCTTCGTCCGTCGCAGGCAGCAACGGAATACGCACGGCAACATCTACGCGGCTGCATCAGCTGACCAGTCAACGTATCGATCCCCTATTCAATAACATTGATGCCATGAGCACTAAGGGCTTAGGTGAGCTAGCGATATTGTCAAATATTGATCAAAGCAGCAACTAAAAGTTTGTTCAATCTGTGTGCAGGCCCTCCACCATATCGCTTAACGGCACAGCGCAACCTCTGCAAATCGATTGAGGAAGCATCTAAGCAAACCCAGCCTGATTTTAATAACATTTGTGATATTGGCGGCGTGAAATATGGAGCGACCTCGCCGCAGCGTCAGCTCCAACGGCCGACGACGCAGGCGAATAACAACAATGAGGATGATGATGATGACGACGATGACGTCGACGATGAACTGAATCAACTGGTGCCGACGCTTACTAGCCCTGTGGTGCGCAGTCAGCGACATGGCGGCGCTATTCAGCAGATTTTAAACAGTCTAACACAATCGCCGCCTGCAAAGACGAATCCCGGCGGGCTTCGATCTACGGCAGCGCGGCTTTGGCGACGTACGGCGAATTCCAGCGCTAACGTCACCGGCAACACAACTACGCTTAATAGTCATAACCGAACCATCAGCAACATCAGCAGCAATTCCCAACCCCATAGTAGCACAGTTAATTACAGCTATCAGCAGCGCCGCAGCGACGTACCTATGTATAACTGTGCAATGGACGACGCGACTGCGTCGACGTATGCTGTTAGCGATAACAGCAGCAACAATAACAACGGCAGCAGTAACTCCACTGCAATGGGTTCTCTGCAAATGCAGTTTGCGGCAGTTGCCGACAACATGCCGGCAACGTCATATGGCGATATCTCTGGCGCTGGCGCCAATATTGAACAGCAACAGCAATACAACAACAAGGAAATTTATCGCGGCCTAACGCATTCTGCTGTCGCGGACTGCGATGCGGACAGCGATGGTAGCAATGTTGCTCTTCAAGGCCTCGATGCACTTTTAGGCGACTTTGGCAACTTTGGTAAGTAATTTTCGATATCGAAAAATCAACTTGTTCTCATAAGGTACTTCTCATGCAAACATCGAAACGTCCATTTAATTCGACACATCTGTAGCCAATGTAAATAACAGCAGCCAATTTTACAGTGCCTGTGTAATTCGAATTCGAAGAATTCGATTTGAAACGCACTTAACAAGAACTTATTCTGTGACCTGCGTGAACTTTTATATGCAAACCGCATCACAGTCTGAGTTCTTGCTTAGCGCGCACTTCATATAGCAACATAAAGATATATTTATTCATATATATTATAAATTAAAATAAATGAAAATTAAATGTTATGTAAATTTTAATTTTTATGCAATTTTTGCAACACTATTTTGGCAGATACCAACCAACGAGAATCAGTTCAAAATTGAATTTGACTTTATTTTCCAATCCTTGTTTTATCATTTAATTGTATAGTGAAATGTGTAACATAATCGTAAAGCAAAAAAAAAAACAACAAATAAACAATTCCTGTGCGCGTACTCCTTTTCTCTAACATAATCCACCCACTCACACAGCATTTCACATTTTAAATTCGACTTTCATATATTTAAAAATGGACAATTTAACTCCGTTAGTTAACATTGGCGTATCTGTTGATTAACATTAACATTAACATTCGATTTTTAAATGGACTATATAACTCCGTTAGTTAACATTGGCATTTCTGTTGATTAACATTATGTTGACAATTTTGCAGTTCAAAGTTTTCTGTTGCTTATTTCGAATACTACTAATATATACAAGTACTAATAAATGCAAGTTCCAATAATACATAATTTTTTTCAATAATAGAGATTGTATGTTTAAAGTAAATGTATATATTTACACGCCGACAAATACCAATGGAAACCATTCAAAAATTCATTTTGGAACTGAATTCTCGTGGGTCTGCAGTGCACTGTAACCGTTGCAGAGGGCAATCGTTCAAATTGAAATTGAAATTTTGTAGCACCATGAGATTCAGCTCTGGCGTGAATTTCAAACATGCATTCACCAAAAAAACAAAAACCATATTTATAAGCATAGCTGTAAATCAAGCAAAACATAATTTCCACTCAAGTATAATTTATCAATATAAATGTAAATATACAAATTATATTTTACTGATTAGTTTCTCACTCTCTACGTATATGAATATATTTACATATATATACATACTTGCAGATTTTGATAAAGCTTTTGTGTCCATCGATCCGCCAGATGATAATGAATATCCCTATGCGCTTAACGCCAACGAAGGCATCGATCGTCTCTTCGACTTCAGCTCCGATGCCTACGGGCCCTAAACCACACACGCATACACACAACCGCGGAGGGAGTTTCTGGGAAAAGGAGTGGGGAGGGGGTGTTTATAATTTAAAATTATATACAAACAAAGCAGAGCATATTATTATTATTATTACGAATTACGAATGATCAAGTAAAACAAAAATGTTAAAAAAAAGAGAACAACAGCAAAAACTATAAAAAAAACAATGTAGAAAACTTAATGAAACTAAGTTGTGTGTAAAATTTTAAGCATTAAAAATTACATATAAATTTATAACCCAAACGTATTTTAAGTAAAAAAAAATTTCCTCACAAAATGCAAAATGCAAAATACATTTTATAAGCATATTTCAATTTTTAGCATTAAACAACAATAAAAGCCGAAACAACGCAAACAAACAAAACGCTAAACAAATACAAATCTATTTGAAGAAAATGAAAAGCCTCATTAAAACATATTTTGCGTTAGAACTGTCTGTAAATTAGTACACACACAAATAATTTTTAATTAGTAAAACCAAATAGTTATAAAATAATATTTACTGAAAATGCACAACATATTGAAAATTGTCATCATAAGCTATAAAAAATATTCCAAAAGCAGCAAAGCAAAAAAAAATAAACAAAAACACGTCTCTGTTACTCTCGACTAATTCCCAGTTTACGATCTGCATGCACCTCTCAATCAGGAATTTTAATTGTTAAAAATGAGTCCCACAAGCGTACGAACAGGAAAGATTGCTATATTCTATATTCCTATCTATTTGTTTGGTTTGTTGCTTGCTGTTTACAGAAATACGTTAAATTTCACCAGCCGTTTCGAGCCAGTCCTATCTATTTCTCTCTTCCCCATTCTTTTCAATTAACTCTGTGTGTTTGATTTAGTTTTTAAAGATAAGTATGCAGAATTACTTATTTGTTATTGTTATGAAAATGTAAACTAGAAATTAAAAACTTCAACTGACTTGACACTCGCAGTCTAACAAGTATGGGAGTGGAAGCGCCTCGTACTCAAATGACAGTTCATAGTTCACCATCAAAGTTTAAAAGCCAAATCATCGCCCAACACAATTGAATCCAACAGATAGCAACCAACTGCAACTAGCTATAAATATCTATCGCCTAGAGATAAACAAATTTACATACAATCTGTATAAAATCAGGATGATGAAAAACAAGGTCTATAAATATACTTTTATTTTATTAACAAACAAACAAAGCAAAAAACTTGTTAGGTACTTTCTTTCGTTTCCAAACAAAATAAACAAAAAAAAATAAATATTAAAAAAAGAAAACATAATCTGATACCTTTGCTTTTTATTTTTCATTACTTCAATTTATGGGTCTTTTCAAATACAATAGGAATTATCGAAAGCGGTTCCGTAAAAAGCTTGGTAAATTAGTGCTCGATTTTGATAGCATACGTTACTATAGTATAGTGTATAATAAGTAATACGAAAGGTAGGTATTTGAAAATTGTTCTAAAGCCCCTTAATTACAGCGAACTAAAATTTGAAAATAAGACTGACAAATCCAAATCAGATTTTGTGAAAATTATAAATTGCACCACATTTCTAAATCTGTAATGCAATAAAGTTAAGGCCCCTCGAGATTAAAATTAAAATCAGTCAAAAATAAAGTATTCGTATAAAAGGCTATAGTCAACATTTAGAGTTGAACAGTTATTTTTTTTAAATGTCGAACGGTGTGCAACAGGAACAGTGGATGATTCCCATGTATATTTGCAGCCAGTGAACTTCATCTGCAATTAAAATAAACCTATCGTAAGTGAAACAACAGGTATTTTCTTTATGTATATTAATTTAGTTTTTATTATAGTCTCGCCATAATGTTTTCGTTATATCGTAATATATGTAGATGTTTTATTTCACTTATATAAACAGGAAACAATTAACTTAATTTTACCTTTACAATTAGCTTTTAGGCTTTAGTTAGAAATAATAAAAATATTGAAGTTTTTTTATTTGTTTTGAATTAATTTTTTATATGATAGGGTTCTTGTTGTTTGTGTATAGTAAATATATATATATAAAACAGACAAGCGCACTGACCCGATGCCAATTATGCAGAATATATAAAATCTATATAAGAAGTTGGCATTTGCTCCTATGCGACTGCTTAAACATTTTGGTGCAATTTTCTTACTTTCTTGTAGTTTTAAAGCGTCTGCAGTTCGAAAAAAATTGAGTTAATTCAGCTATTAAATATACATAATTGTTTATAATGCTTTCGGCTGTGTTTCATATATATGTACATACATATGAATATATATTTATAATTCCATTAATTGTTTTTACGTTTTCGCATTAAGTTTATAATTTTCGTTAGAAAGTTGGCTTTATTATGTACATAAAAACAAAAGGAACTATATTTTTCAGTCTTTTTAGTGTGTGTGTGTGTTTGTGTGTGTGTGTGTGTGTGCGTGTGTGTGTGTGTGTGTGTGTGTGTGTGTGTGTGTGTATGTGTATGTGTATGTATGTATTTGCTTATATGTGTTGTCTATTTATGTTGAATATTCATATTTTTTTGCGTATAACAGTTTGTTATATAATTTTATAATTATGAATTCAGTTTCCTTTCAAGCTTTCTAGACGTTTTGTACAATTCTTTTAAATATTTTAAGTGATTTTGTATTATTTATCCTTGAAACTATAAAATTAAAGTAAGAACTAAAAGTTAATTGCGTTTTCCCTTTTTTGCATCAACTGCTTCTATTACATATACATATATATACATATATATATATATATATAGTATATATATAGAGCGAAGGCAAATATCGAATACTTTTGTTTTGTTGTTGTTGTTGTTATAATATTATTTGAAGCTTTTCTAGTTTTTCGTTGCAGTTTGAAGAGAATGTGTGTGTCTGTGAGTGGGTGTGTGTTCCATGCATTTGTGTGTATGTTAATTATTCTATTTTCAGAGTCTTGAAATGTTTTGCTTTTATTACTCTTCTAACTTAAAGACGGTCAGTTGGTAGTGTTTTTTATTTGTATATATGTATATATTTGTAGGTATGTTTGTAATTCGTCTATCGTTGTTTTTCCATGTTTGAGGTTTAACTCTGGGTAATTCGTCTGTTATTCAAAAGAAGAGTATACTTTTGATACTCTCTTTTCTGTGTGTTTGTTCCTTGTTTCTTTTGCTACTTATGTGAATGTATATCAAAATGTTTCAATGTCAACTACATTCTACCTGTGTTGGGGTGTTTTTGTCAACTATACATATGGATGTAAATAGCATGTAAATATGTAAATTATGCAACAGTTATTTAAGCTCTCAATGTGAAGCTTGGCTTCAACCCAAATTAATTTAGATTAAAAAAAAAACAAACACAATTTACACTTCCTGCTCTCTCTCATTCTCTCCCTGTCTACTAAGAAAGTGCTCTTTCTGCTTTATTCTCTGTATGTGTACATGTGTACGTGTGTGTAGTATGTAAATTATTCTCTCTCAGCTCAAACTTTTGCCATTTGCCAAGCGCCATGCATTATCTCAGTGAATTTTTTTTCGACTTTCTTTTTGTGTTTCATTTACAGATAGTCTTTTGTTGTATAAAACGAACACTAGAACACAAACGCACTAATATATTGCAACACAATTTGCCACTAACAAAAAAAAATCTAAGAAACATTTTTGAGTACCCGCAAATTCTATCTAAAGTGTTTTTCATAGTTGGTAATAGTAGCTAACTAATTTAAAGGTATTAACTCAGTGTTGATATTTTGTTTGTTGTATTGCTTATTGTTTTTGCTGTAATGGTTTGTTTTTGTAGTTGTACAGTTAGTTTGCTTCATTGTTGCATCGCTTTGTGTGGGATTTTGCTTAGGTAGGTGCTAAAATAATTATTACAATTATACCATAAGTTAGGTTAGGTTATGCATACGAATAGTATTTAAATCTAGTTATAATCGGTACTTAGGTTGGTTGGTTGGTTGTTGGCTTTTGTACTTTTGTTATTTGCATTTAGGACTTTTGTTTTTTTTTTTTTGATTTTCTTGTATGTGTGTGTGTGTGTGTGTGTTTAAACGGCGCTAGTAAATTAAAAAGAAATACTTAACAAATACGAATATATACATAAATTAAGCTTACTATAAATTGTTAGGAGACTTGGCTTTGGGCAAAAGTTTGCTGACGGCCTTAATGTTAAGCATGATTTACATATGTTAGGATAACATCAAAACAATAACACTAGCAGCGCAGTGTGTTAAGCTCTCACCACATATGCAATGCGCTTTTTCTCTCTTACACAATTCGAGTTGTTTGCAATTATTTAGCAGTAGGCACACACGGGCTCTCCCTCTCTCCGAGTACCCCCGATCACCCATCCCTCCGTTAAATACTTAAACATATTTTTATGCTAATTGCTATATATACATATGCACGTATGTATTTACAAAATTCTCTCGACGCATACGCTCTTTTACGCTTCGCGGCCTATCAAACCATTGGGTGGCTGTGGTCGTGTCGTATTGGGCTGCAGCAGCCAATTTTCCTTAAGTATATTGGACGTATTGGCGGCCGACGCGGCTGCAGCAGCAGCAGCAGCAGCTGATGCTACTGCTGTTTCAGATGATGGCGTCGCTGTCTTACGCTTCTGACTAGCGCTGCGACTGCGTGAATGCTGCTGTTGCGACTTAATGCGCGTGCGCTGCTTTGGTCGACTGAGCGGCATTCGCTCCATTTTGATGTGCTCCGTGTGCTCATCGTCATCGTCTTCCTCGTCCTCGGCACTGTAATTATAAAGTAAATATTAATATATGCATTATACATATATATACATAGGTTTATTTCTACGAGGGTGGTGTACAAAATGTTCGAGCATAATGTAATGCTTATCTTTGTTATTGTGTCGTACATTTGGCAGACCACCCCGTAATATTTCGCTTTTACTATTACTTGTCATTTTCGTCTTCATTTGAGCTACCAGGTATCATATGCGCTGGACCCATCATAGCCGCATAATTGGGGTTCTCGCTGGTACAGACTTGATTTTGTCCAGATCCCGTCTTGGGTTCGCTCATCAACACATAGTTGGGGTTATCACTAAGCATGCTGAATGGCGCTGCTGCTGTTTCTGCTGCGGGCGTCTGCATGAGCTCATAGTTGGGGTTCAGACTGCTGGTGGTTAGCTTAGTTGGCGGCCAAGCCGAGTGGGGTTTTTCTCCACTGTTTAATGACTCGTCCAGCAGCTTGTAATTGGGATTGTCGCTGATAATAGTAGTACTGCCATTGCCTCCAGCACTGGGTGTGGTTGCAGTGGGTGTGTAGAATCGCGGTGTACCAGCATAGCTACCTGCACTGCCGCTGCCACCACTCTCAATGGTGCCCAGATTGCTGGCCATGGACATCATTGCCATACCCGTGGGATGGCTCGTTAGATTTGAGTTGCTACTGTTGCTAGCCGTATTTGAGATGTTGCTCCGGTGGCTATCGTTACTGTCACCGCGTTTTACATTGATGCGACGCAAGGTGTCCGCCAGCACACGCATCAGACTCGGATGACGATTGTTGCTTGCATTGGAGCTAGCCGCCGATGCAGTCGAGGGTTGTAGCGAACTGGAGACAGCACCGCCACCCACAACACCCCCACCAATATCCTCGTCTGGCATAGAGCTGCTCATATCAGGCATAATGTTACCTCTTTTCATTTTCGGCAGTAGATGTTGCTCACCGCTCAAACGGCCGCTGCCGCTTTGTGGTAAATCAACAAAGTTGGGACTAGGATCGTACAGCTCGTAGCCTCGTTCCCCATATATATTTTTTTCCGCATTCCCATCTATATCAGGTTGCACATATGCAGCATCCTCCATGTGCGAGACACCGGCTGTGGGCAATGTGCACAGCGCATCCGGCGTGCTGCTCACTATATAGTCGGAGTGCATGCTAAAAGGCGAATTCGTCGTAGCCTGATCATCGACTAGGGCAATGGGACTCTCCGCGGGCTGTTCCAATGAAGTGTTGTGCTCCATGTTCGACTTGTAACCCTGATATTCACCCACACGTAACGGCGTTGTTGCATCCTCGCCATCCACCTCGGCATCCAAATGAACGCCCGTAAAAGCATCCATTTGATTACGCTCCTTGCGCTCTTTCTCCCGGTATTGCACACCTGAATCTGAATAATAGAAGGCCACCTCTTTAAAGCCAGGACTGGACAAGTGCTCCAGGTAATCGATAATGTCCAGGAACGAGGGCCGGGCCGATGGTCTATGATGCCAGCAGCGATGCATGAGCTTATGCAGCACCTCTGGACAATTGTCAGGCCGTTCCATGATCCCACCATCAATGACATAGCGCAGCACCTGCTCATTGGACAGGCCCTGATAGGGTTGAGAGGCAAGTGTCGCCATTTCCCAAAGCACAACGCCGTAGCTAAATACATCACTGGAGCTGGAATAGACGCCATCGCGCAAACTCTCCGGCGGCATCCAACGTACTGGCAGAAGTCCCTTGGTTCCTTTGCGGTAGTAATCTGTCTCATAGATATCCCGCGTCATGCCAAAATCGCCAATCTTCACTGTTAGATCATCTGCCACCATGCAGTTGCGTGCGGCTAAATCGCGGTGCACGAATTTCTTGGCGGCCAAATAGGCCATGCCATCGGCTATTTCGATGGCCATCTGGAAGATACGACTATAAGGTGGCGGCTGCACAGAACCTACTGTGGTACCCGCATTCGTGAGTCCAATGCGTTTCTGATAGACTGCCACTACATCTTCTCGTTCGTCGGGTCGATGAGCTCGTAAATAGGATTTGAGATCACCCTTCTTCATGAGCTCCATGACGACGAGCGCTGGCTGGCCACGGGAGCATACACCTAGCAGGCGAACTACATGATAGGTGTCGAACTCCTTCATTACACTTGCCTCGCTCAGGAAATTGGTGCGCTCCCGATCCGTGGCATTTTCATTGACTGTCTTGACTGCACACGGTGTATCTTCGCCAGAATTTTGTGCCTTGAGTATGCCCTCATAGACCATTCCAAATGAGCCCTGACCCAAGGACCTTAGTAGAAGGATGCGTTCTCGCGGAACTTCCCAATCGTCGGGAACGTATTGTAGACTTGCATAGAAGGGATTCACTTCTGTATTCATGACCAAATCCTGTGGATGTCCCCTCTTCGCACTGAAGAACTTAAAGTAGATAACTAATCCAGATATGAGTATCGAGAACCCAAAAATTATGCCTATAACCAAAAAAGTTGTCCATGATTTCGGCGGCTGTAAGCATGAAAAGATACAACTTAGACATCTGTGTGCTTAGTTAGTAAATCTAAAATTAAAACTAAGCCCTTTTCTTGTTGACAAAATTTATGATTTGCGTTAATTAAAAATAAGTCAAAAAGCTCTAGTCGAGGTGCCCGACTAACAGACACCCTGCTGTCAGTCTTATCTGAGTTTAAGATTTTCAATAACATGTATCGAGAATTAAAAAAAAAAAAAATACAAACCGACATTACGACATCGAGAATCGTACCAACGTTTCCTACGCAACGCGCAACAACTTTGCCAACACCGCTACCTCATAATTAAAAAATATAAAAAAGGAAAAAAACGTCCCTTCACCACCTGGTCTAAAACCTAGAACTTGTCAGTAACGAGCGCCAACACCGCCACTGCTCTGCTTGCTACTTAAGTTGAGAATTCAATCGCAATTTATTAACTGCATTCGATCATAATTTTAATCGATAACAAGAAAACGCAAATAGTTATTGAATGTTTGAAACAAACTTGATATGCGCGTGCTGTACACGGACCTACAAACGGACAGGGTTCAATCGACTTGGCTTGTCGTCCTGATCAAGAATATTTTGGCAAAAATAATATATAATATATATTAACTTCAATTATTTACCGGCACTGTCACGTAAACAAGATCCGTAAGATCTCCATCGCCGGCCAATGAATTGGCCCTAATGCGAAAGCTGTATTTGCCCTCGTTCAGATTGGTGACAATATAGCCGCTCTGATTGAGATAGTCTTGTACTGTGATACAGCGTTTTTCCTCGACGGCATCTTGCTCCTGACGCTCAAAGATAACTATGTAGGAAACTATAGCACCGTTCGGATGCTGTGGTTCCTCCCAGCGGAGGCGAACATTGCCTCGAGTGGTGTTCAGATTATCCACAAGTTCGCCCGTTAAATTAAATGCTTTGTCCACATTAGCTGTAGCATAGACACACATATAAGATTAGAGTGATCACTGATTCCAAAGAATGACCAATTACTTCTTACCTAGTTTTTGAGTTCTTTTCTCCAGTGGATAGGAATCGCTACACAAGTCTGCAATGTCATCATCGCCCTGCTTTATGCGACAGGCGCGTACATTCAGCGAATATAGAGAGAAGTGTCGCAATTTTTCGAATTCAAATTCTGTTGTATTTGCATCCACTTCAGCAACAAAGATTTTGTAGTACGTGTCGTTCGTATCCATCACGGTCACGTTTCCCCACATTGAATCTGTGAGTGTTGTATAGGAGTTCACTCCTACAGTCACTGATCTGGTTAAATTATTTTCTGTCGATCGAATATGCCGCATTAGCACGCTACTCATTTCGTGCCCCTCTTCGTCAACTTCAATATATCGCCTGCTCCTGGGTTGCACACTATTCGGACTGTTATTATCGCTGGGCAAGGTGGTAATATTGGAAACCTCACTATTATTTCGCTTTTTTGGCACGTACAGAAAGTTCTGGAGCGTATTTTCGAAATCTATGTCATCAAAGATTTTAGCTTCAACTACTTGTTGATCGAATACGTTCCGACCCCCAGCATCGCATTTACAGTCAGGACCTGGCGTCTCCTTAAACGTCTTCTCTGCAGGTGATAAAAACGTCTCCTCATCGTCGGATGTATTCGGTAAAGCTGCAAGGATTAACAAGTGACTAAGATATGTATTTCTTAAATGTTTCAAAACTTACGATCGCGACAGAAATTGCGATGTTGCTCCAGCTTAGCATCGCGACGCCTGATTTCTGCGCGTACCTGGTACTTCGCTAGCTGGCCGTTCACTTCCAATGGAGGTTTCCAACTCAACAGCTGTAATGAAAAAAATGAAATATATTTTAGTCTACCTTTAACTTTAGTTGCATTAAAGCGCACCTACAATTTTCGTGCTGTCTGTGGAGCGTGCACTTATCCGGCGCACTTCCGATGGCTTATAGGGCAAGGTCCGGAAGTGTATTATGTCACTCTGATAGTTTCGTTTTTCCGAGGAAATCGTCATGGTGCGTACATAAAGTGCATATTTTGTATAGGGATCAATCTTATCAATGTAGCGCACCTTGTCCTTGCTTAATTCACCCACAATCCAGCTGTCACGAGAAGCGGAAGGAAACTTGTATTAAATTGATTTCAATTGATCAAACTATTCAGATATAACGCACTTATCTAAACAAGGTTGATAGTTGTCCCTAGTGACATTGCCATATGGATCGAATGTGAAATAGCTTTGATAACCAATGAAGGAACGCTCATCATCATAATTGACGGCGTCGATTTCGATTGTAACGAATGTTGAACCCAGTTGTATGATTTTTACATTCAACTGCCTCGTATTGCCTGTGAGAAGAGTTTACAGTTAAGTTATATATTGGCAGATATTTCATAGTAATTAACATACATGTGCCCTTGTTTCCATTTGAATCCTCGGCCACCTCGTTTTTGTTGAATTTCTCGGGCTTGCCCGGTAGCATGGGTCGCAGCTTGTCGATAGTCTCAATACAAAGTTTGGGATTGAAGTGAAAGAAAATGCTGCCGTTACTAATGATGACTGTTTGATTCTCGGCCCAAATTGTCTCTAAGTCTCGATTCTCCAGCACATACATAGCATAAATATCATCCATCAATTTCTCGCCCTTAATTTGTCGCAGACTCTTAAAGAAGTCCAACGTTGTTAAGCCATAGGTCAAATGGACCTTCAGGAATAAATTGATAGTATGCACCATACCAAGACCGAAAACCAGGGCATCAACCATGTGAGCTATAAAAAAGAAGCGTTAATTGGGCTTCAGACGGATCGATACGAGACACTTACGTCCGCCACGCTTGATGCTGATGGTTAGACCATCCTTGGTGATTACAGTGCAGCCATGGTACTCCTTGGCTTTCTCTAAACTGTCAATGGTACCGCCTGGGCACTCCTTCTGACAGGTGCCATTGCACTTTTGGCAGGTATTGTTCATGATCGTGTAGCCCTTGTCGCAACGCGTTGTACATTTGCCGTTGAAATGCACCAGTTTCATCTGGTTACTGCTCTCGTATTTGGTGCCAATCTTCTCACACATCTCAGCCGTAATGCATCGTTGTTCGTACTACAAGAAGAGAAAGAGATTAGATTCAATGTATATAGGCTATATATGCACACATTCGATATTTTCTATTTAATATGTAGCAATAGTGCAATAAAAAACTAACTAACATATTGACGATGTATGCAACTGAAATTATTAATTTTAGAAAATTTAAGCTCCTAAATTTAAAACACAAGTATAAGTACAAGTAGATGTGCTCGAATAGGATAAGCCCTGAGCCCTGCGTAGCGATCATATTCCAATCATTCTACAATACGCATAACCACGCGCCTAGCTCCTATTTTCAATGTGTTCAAGGTGGAAAAATAGATATTTGTTAGTATTTAATAACAGTCAACGAAATTAAATATTTTTAAATCTAAATGATCACTTTTATAGTTGATTGATCTGAGATTACAAATAATAATTTCAAGATAAGACGTGAGGTAGCATGCTACACTGCTAAAACCTGTTAATCACTTTACAATTATATAAAAATAGGTGCTATCGAAATAAAATATATATATAAATTTCTGTTCCATTAGTTTTTTTGCTCTTTCCTCTTAGTTCGCTAAATTTGAATATGAATGGTCATATTTCATGGAATTTAGAAGCGAAAGCTTCTGGATTCCAAGTAGTTGGCAAATTAAATAGTTTACAAAAACTAAACTATTTATTATGTATTATTATTATGAATGTTAAGCGAATGTTTTCTAACCATTGTGTTATAATAATAATAATGTTATCAGAAGTCCAATGTCTATTGTGCACTTTTACACGTATATTAAATTGGATATTAAGACTTACCTGAAAAAAGCCATCGGGGCATTGATTAATGCAATTGCCGCCGTTAATAGAAACATTGCGACAGGCGACACAATCGCCCAGCAGCGGGTTTGAACAGCCGCCTAGACAGGACTCGTTGCAACAGGTGTTCTCATTGATGCAGTTGTAGGGACATTCCTTTGGACAAACTACACAGAGAAAGAGAGAGTGGAGAACAGAGTTAAGTTTAAGGCATTTATTTTGGGAATCTGATAATGTAGCTCACTTGTCTGGCAGGCTCGACTGTTCCAGCAATATCGCTTGTGACCGGGATATTCCTTGCAAGCGGGCACATTACTGGCATCCGTCATTGCGTTCTCTTGTGCATCGTCGTTGATCTCGCCAGGGCAGCGTGCACATTCGGCCTCATTGCGATTGAATTTTAGCACAATATCCGCATCTGTCGCATTCTTAGAAACGATCCTGTGCCAATTAACGGTCTTTACGAAACACAAATATAAATTCCTTTCGATACGCACGCCTCCATTTGTGATTGCACGCAAATTAGTCAATCCGATATCCAGCAAATCCCGATTCTGATACACCACCAGAGCAAAGCTTTCAAAGAGTAAATTCCCCCTTATAACACTCAAGTTGGGAAAGATTTGCGATAACGATATCAGATTTTGCACACGAAAAACTATTATATAGCCTGTGACCTCGGTGAGCAGTGGATATGTTGTGTTCAATTTATCCGCATCGTTGATCAGTGTTATAAGCAAAAACCCCTCAATGATAGTACAGTTAGCCAGCTGTTTCAGTTCTGATATATTGTTTCGTATATCCATCGACTTACAGGCTGTTTTTTGTTGAAAATTAAAAAAAGAAAGAAAGAAGAATGATGTAATATATAAATATATATATATGTATACAAAACATATATATATACATGTAATATATACCACATAAATTCATACAGTGAAGTGAGAAATTCATACAGAAATAAATACTTATTTCTTGCAACAGACACGTCCATAACATTCAATACTTAACAGTATTTTTAAACTGTGATTAGAAAGTGATAGTGATGGAAATATTTATATACATATAGATCGATAGATATAGCTCATTAAAAAGCTACAAGTATCTCTGTCAGACTTACGCATTTCCTTTCGCGCCAATCGCACATTACTGTTACTGATGCTGTTGGTGTAATTGGTATTGATGCTGCCATATTCATTACGAGGTCGCCTTGTGAAAGCTGCCAAGCTGTCCCCAAAGCTACGCTTCGCTGTTGATGGAACTCTCTGCAGTTGATGTTGATCATTTTGCGTAGTCGGCGACGACGGCGGCGGCTGCACCGCAATTGCAGTAGTCGCATGTAATGTTAACAGCGCGAGTATTGTGAACACAATGCTTTGATGACGCCAGTGTTGCAGATGCTCTTTTTGCTGATGATAACTGAATTTCTGATGCTCTCTTCTAAGTGCCTTTTGTTCTTCTTGGTGCCGCTGTTGTTCTGATTGCAATTGTTGTCTTCGTCGCCTTTTGAAGATAATACAAAATTGTCGCAGCAGCGTTTGTTTTTGTATAAACAGAAACAACTGCAGTGTGACCAAAAGGCTTAAGCAATCGCTGTAAATCTTCAAATATCGATTCCTTTTGTGAACGTGGCTGTTAATATTGTTGTTGCTGGTGTTCTTCTTCTTGCTGTTGTTGTTGTCGTTGTTAGTGTTGCACTGGCAATTGGCGGTTGTTGTTATTTTTTGGTTCTGGTCATTTGTACTATTACTACCACTACTCCAATTTTTCCGACTACATCTACTACTCTTTGTACAGCAACATGCTCCAGGAACATGTTGCTCATGATGCTGATGACGTTGCTTTTGTTGAATTTGCAGACAGCTGCTATGCTGCGAAACCTCCAGCTTACTGGGGAATGTAGTTGATGTTGCATGGCTGTTACTGCTTCTGATATTACATATACTGCTACTGCTATTGTTATTGTTACTGTTACTGTTACTGTTACTGTTACTGTTACTGTTACTGTTACTGTTTCTGTTTTTACTTTTGCACAGGTTGCGCCTGGTGCTGCTTGCATAGGAACTGCTGCTTGTTGCTGTCTGCTGAATGCAGCAACATTCGGTTGCTGCTAAAACTTGACGGCATATGACACAAATATTGTCGTATGCTGTTGTTGATAATGCCGTTGCTATTGTTTTAGTTGTTGCTAATACCTCATCCGTAGTTGTTGTCGGCGCCTTTGTTTTTGTAGCGCGCCAACATATTCGCCAGGACCACCTTCTCATTTTGATGTTATTTGAACTCCAATCTTCCACCTTCAGACTTTCACTAGTTTCTGTCTTAAAGCAAAATGTTTCAACTGGTAAATCTGTTAAATCCATGTTGTTCAATAAAATGTAGCAAATTTTTTTTGTATAAAATTTTGAAATAGGGGCACTGGCCCGCTAAGTAATCATCTCTCTTTTTGTCTCGCTCTCCCAAGCTTTATCTCTCTTCCTGTCGATCACTCTCTCTCTCTCTCTCTCTCTCTCTCTCTCTATCTTTGCCGATTTTTAACGTTTTATTTGTTATTATTGGAATGCTTTTTGTCGTCACTTATTGTTGTTGTTTGGTTGGTTTGAAACTGTAATGAAAATACAAAAAATGGAAATGTTATTGTTAAGTTTTTTTCCAAACAGTAACGAGACAATATAACAACAGCTGCGCTTGTATGTGTGTCCACACATATGTGTATCAGTATATGTAAGTACTACAGCCACAAGCAATAGCAATAATTTTATGCGAAAAGGGCGCCAACTGGTCGACACACGTGTCGCTCCAACGTCAACGCCGACGTTGACGTTTCGTTATCGATTTAGCGTGACCAAGCGTGCACACATATTGTTGAACTAGCATTCGTCATTAACCGAATGTAATTTATATTTACATATACACACAAGTGTGACTTAACAGCTTTTACTTTTTAAAGTATTCACTTAACATCTGCATTACATTAAAATGTGCACGGACTAACATAGCGCCTAATGTTATTCAATTCTGTTATTTAGATATCTTGTCTCTTAGTCCACTATCTCTTCTCATTTTTAAGGAAACTAACATTTTTTAATACAACTTTTATATTCTAATGCGATGTTACATTGCTCGATTAGACAGCAGAGTTCTGCTTAATGTTGACTCAAGAACGCACACACCCACACACATATAAATATATATATATATACAAAAATCGAATTACTTGTATTTTATTTTTTATTTTGCCGCATAAAACATGGTATATGTTTGTATAGATATAAATAAAAGTGATTGTTATTGTTGTTGTTGTTTTTGCTGCTGCTAGCTAAAAATCATTGACGTTTGTTTGCTTGACGCTTGACTCTCACTACACTGAGCGAAGAGAGCGACTGCGATAGCGTCACCGACGCCAGGCCAGCGCTCCTATTGTAAAAGTGTAGTAAATAGTAAAACCGAATAGAAAAAGTGCGCGTAGCGTATTTACAACTACGTTGTAATTCATCATCAGTTGACGCTGCACTTCCCCTGCCGTCTTACACAGGGTGTTGCCGGTTTTTCGGGGCGTAAGAAAAATAAAATGCGGCTGCGTTGTCAGCGGTATGAGAGTTGTTGAGCGCAAAACGTGGCAGCAAAGCAGAGAACGAATACTGTATATGAGAGAAGCGCAAGAGTTGCCATAGAAAGAGGCGGGGCACATGAACACCACCCGCCTCTCCTTGTTCTTGTGCAGTAGTAAAAATGCTGCTGCGTAGTTAAAATGTACTCACACACATACGCAAACACGCACGCACGCACGCACGTACGCACGGATGAATGCCTACATACACAAAACCGTGTGTTTTTCTGTGTATGTATTTACAAGCACTATTAGAATTTTTGTTCTTATTGGCCTCTCGGCTTGCAAATTGTTTTGGATACCCCTGAAGAACTGCAACAATAACAACAAGCTCGCTCTCTCCCTCTTTCTGGTACTCACGCACACACAATGCTCTCTCGCTCTCTTAGCTAATGCTGTGGGTAGTCGTTTGTGTTATTATGCTTTATAATTATTTTTTTCTGTTTTTGTTTTATTGCGCAGTAAAAATACTTCCTAATAGTCGCGTTTCTAATCCTATGGCACCATATAATAATTAAAGAGAATTAACAAAATCAAAATACCATTAGAGTTCTAATTAAAATAATAAAAATATTGTTATTAATATAATATTAAAATTATAAAAATAGTATTTGTAATAGGAATTAGAATTTTTTTATTTTAATACAAATTAATAACAACAAATTCTTAATATCAAAGGTACCGGTGCAGGTTGCGTTTTGAGGTAACGCCATGAAGTCTGCTGCTTCTATTCTCTGAAAACGGTTTTTAAATTCTTCTGTCTTTTATGCGTAATAAGAAAAGCACACGCACACACATTCATGCACACACGCACACACACTTAAGCGTGCGCTTAGCTATGATATATCCCATGAGATCTTAATTATTAAATAACTTTCCTTCTAGACTAATAATCATGGACTAATACAAATACTCCGAGTGCAAAAAGACATTCATATGTGCCAAAGCACGTCTCTAGTATTTGAAATAGTCAAATACTAATACAAATGTTCACAGCCAAATATTAATACTAATTAATATTCACAGTATAGTAGATATCTTCTGCTTTTACGGTATTCAAGGTAATCCCGTACAGAAACCCAAACGTGCACTTTATGGGGTGTCATTCTGCCTGTCCATATGCAACTGCAAAATCTGTGGACTCTAGAATAAAAATGTATGGGATACAATTCAATAACTGCAGTGAGATCTGCTTAATTGAAATATTGAACGCAAATAGTTCACTTAAAAAAACTTGATCTGCAAGTGCTATATAGCAACCAAGTATTAAAAAGAAAAAACAAATAAAAACCGACATTCCAACACCAAGATTCGAATCAACATTGTCAACTCTACCAACACCGCCACTTTGTAATTAAGAAATAAAAAAAATGGCAAAAAACACATCCGTTTGCCGCCTGGCTCGAACCCAGATATTGCCGCCTACGAGTCCCACCTCTACCAACACTGCTACTGCACTGCAGTGCACTGCAAGTCCCAACTTAAGAAGCAGCTGATAATTCAATTCTTGGAATAGAAAAGAATACACTCATTTAAATGTATTTGTACCATGTATAGGAAAAATGAGTGCGCTTAGCGCTGCTTGACATGTGAAAATGTTGCAAATTGGCCGAAAGCTTTGTTTGATTACTTCTTTTTTATTTAATGGATTTTAATGAAATTATCATCATCCAAAATATAACAAAAATCAAAATTGTAGAATATATACTACATAAAACTAAATACAAAATTTGGAAGCTCAAAATATAATTTAATAACTGCATTTCGATTATGTTTTTAATCGATAACAATGAAACGGAAATAGTTATCGATTATTTAAAACAAACTTGATATCCGCATGGTATACACGGACCTCCAAAAAATGTCAGTCTCTAGCTCTTATAGATGTTGAAATCGACGCACGCTCACATACGGACAGACCTTATGGTGTCTGCCATACCTCTTTCTGCCTGTTACATACATTTGCACAAGACCAAGATCAATGGGATCAGGGTAAAAAATACAAATCTATTGCTTTTGTAGGTTCTGAGATTGTCGCGTTTATACAGGCGCACCTGATAAAGAATATATAACATTTAAGGGGTCTGCTACCCAGCCTTCTGCTTTTATATTAATTTTAACAAAGCCATTATACCCTGAATTCTGATTTTCAATGTATTTAGTGTATAAAAACTTCCGAACAGTTGGGGAGCCACAGTAATGCGAATATGTTATGTACAAATTTTTTCTGTTACACACACATACTTATAAAGAGCGCGCGCGTTAGAGAAAGAGAAAGAGAAAGAGCAAGAGAGAGAGAGAAAGAGAAAGAAAAAAGAGTAAGAGAGAGAGAGACAACGAGACAACAAATGACTGGGCTCATCAAACTGTATAACATTGTTGATGGGAGGGTGACCCAATTTTATAATTTTATATTTATTTTTACTATCAGGTGGAACCTAAAAAAACGCTACATTTCCGTCTACACTTTGACAACAACAATAATGTTATCAGCTATGCACATATGAGAAAAAACTTGGCAATTGTGTTATTGTTTATTTTCATTAAACTCGGTCACAGGCGCCATCGTGTGCTCGCTCTCGTTAAATATTGAAAGCTGAAATTAGCACGCTTAACAGTCATTTGTTTTGCTGTTATTTTACTTCTCCTTCTTTTTTACAGCTAAATGGCTGCTTGCATTTTGCTCTCTCTTTCTCAATGCATTCGTTACGCACGCGCAGCTGCTGGCAGCGGCGTCAAAGCTATGGCTGACGTCGCGTACTACTGCTGCTGCTGCTGCTGCTGCTGATCGAAAGCTTCTGAGTCATTTTTGCAGCAACAACAACAGTAAGAACAGAATCTCAATGAGCAACAACTATGATGACGGCATTGACGCTGGCAATAACGGCAAGATCAACAAACAGCAACAACAATCACCACTCTGCACTGCGGCTTCCTAAAGGCAACAACATTCCAATCAGACACAAAGTTGTCCGACCAGTTAACAGCAGCAATAACAACGACAACGACAACAACCAAAGCGAAATATTTCTGATGCTCCAAATCTCATGGGCAAGTTTTATATTATGATTTTTGTATTTTAATATAAATGTTTTCATTTTCTTAATTTTATTTTTTACACGCTCACAAAAGATGAGCAAGGAAATTTCACATAATTTAATATTTAATAATATAAAAATATTCCTATTGATCTTAAAAATTTAACTTAATTATGTGATTTTTTAGTTACCTTGATGAACCGAACAACTGGAATCTAATCACATACCATGAAACGCAAGTACTGTATAACCTCCCAATTAACAAAAAAAAAAAAGAAAATATAGTTAAAAAATTCGGCCATACTTTTGAAAAAAAAATTAGGAATTTTTAAATAAATGCGAAATTTAATTTTGTAAATAATATTTATTTTTATAAATAAATATTACTTTTATGTTAATGTTGATTTTTTTGTGTTTTGAAATATGGGTTTTTTTAATGGGAAATTATAGTATTTATTGTTCCGTTAAACATTGCTTGTTTCTTTGAGACTATTCATGAAATTAACTATTTCATCTTATGTGATGACAGTCAAATGAAGGACTTCATTTGTATGGTTGATTCTTAAAGAATTCGCTAAATAATTCCCAGAGAGAACGAAAACCAGAGAGATAGAAAGAGAGAAAGATAGAGAGAGGGAGAGAGCAAGCACTACTCTTCTATCGCACGACTCAGCATAACGATAACAATATGAACGACAAAGCCCGCACGAGCAGTTGGCAGGTGAAACTAAACTTGTTGATATAGATATTTACATATATTAAGCTATAATATGCATGCCTGTATTGTGTTTGTCAGGCGTGTTGTTTTGCTCAACATTTAGTTGGTATACGTTGCGAGTCATTTGTGTAAGTTCCAGATAAGCAACGTGA